ACGACGACGACGACGACGACGAAGACGAGGACGAAGACGATGACGCCGAAGAAGAATACGAGATCGAAGTGGTGCGGGGTCATCGTCAAAAAAAGGGCAAAGAAGCAGTAAGTGGTTTCCTCTCCTCCCGCTATCCCGTAGCTTTCCGCACCACGGCTCAGCAGCGCGCGCGCGCGGATAGGAACTGACATTGCAGCATTTTCTTTCCCCCGCTTTCGAAATCTGGCAGTACAACATGGAATACCTCATCAAGTGGAAAGGCTATCCCGACACCGACAACACGTGGGAGCCAGAGGCGCAGCTTCCCCAAGACTTGGTCAACGCGTACTGGAAGAAGCAGCCTTCCAAGTCGCAGCCCAAGAAGTTCGAGAAGCGCATGTTGCAAGAGAGCGAAGACCAGGAGAGCGAGGACGACATCGAGCCCATCGAGGCGGACAGTGACGAAGACCAATACGCCAAACAGTCGAAGCGAGGCTCCGCAGCCAAGGCCAAGCTCTCGGTATCGCCCAAGCGCAACGGCCGTGCAAGCAGCACGACGGGCTCGAAGCGCTCGAGCCCTTCCAAGTCGGCGTCGGGCAGCGCGCGCGGCGCCAAGAAGCGACGCACCTCTTCCTCCGGCCGCGGTCGCCGAGCGCCTTCGTCGGACGACGATCAGTATTCTGAAGACGACCAGGAGGACGAGGAGCAAAGCGAGGTGGACGACCAGAGTGTTCTGGAGCAGGAGCAGACGGCGCTCAACAGCATTCGCACAAAGTTCTTGAAACACTTTGTGGAAAACGTGGAGGACTGGGAAGACGAGGTGGAGAGCGTCATCAACATGCAGCGCAGTTCCGACGACGACGAGCTACGCAGCCATCTGCAATTCCGCAACACCAACGCGTGGCGCAAGGCCATGGGCAAGATGAGCTTTGGCCACAAGTACAGCGGGAAAGGACCGCAAATCTGGGTGGCCAACGAGACGGCCAACGAACGCTGCCCGCAAAAGGTCATCAAGTTCTACGAGTCGCACCTCCGCTTTGCAGACACGCACAGGGCTGCCCCCTAGATTCACCCTCAAGTTTTCTTTGTAACACCAGTCTGATTCATACGAATCGCATCATTCACACCAGCATCCCCAGGCATCGACAATCTGAGGCCACGATGCAGCCACGACTGCCGATGCGAGCCCCTACCACGATGAGCATACAACTGAAGCGGACGAAGACGAGCGCAGAAGCTCAGGCGGTCGACGATGAGCCAACAATGGCCGGCGATACTGGAGGACGATTAGATTACTTTTGACTAGCAATACGACGTTTGGAGCGTCGAGATCAGTTTCCGTACTGCTGGTCGTAGAGCTGTTCGGCCTGCTTGCGGGCGTGGCGCTTGGCCTCCTCGCGGTCGAGGAAGTCGAGGCCCTTGGTCTCGAAGAGCTTGTCGACCTCTGCGCCGGCGATGCCGGCGAGCATCTCCTTGGCGAACTCGTGCTTGGGGTGTTCGCCCTTGGACTCCTGGCGCTTCTCGTACTCGCGCATGGCGACAAAGCCGGCACCAAAACCGACGGCCTCGTGCGAGAACTTGGACTGGTGCTCCTGCGGGTCCTGGTTGTCTACATATCCCAAAAAACAACAGCGTCAGTATACAATGTATGAGCGAGGAAGAGGTTGATACGTACAGACAAAGTCAGCAGCCTCCTCGTGGTTACCGAATCCGAACATTGTGTCTGATTTTTGTGTGCGTGTGGTGTGGAAGGAACGATGGTTGTGTATTACAGCCAGGAGGGGCAGCTGGGAAGGAGCGGTCTTATATACGTCTTGTCGTCGAGGACGCACGGACTCGACGCTGGCGACTGCTTCGCACTTGCTCCTTGGGAGCGGCGGGCAAAAGTGCCAGCACCTTCCGTTCGCCGTGTGTGGCGGGGACGTTCTGCAGGAGGTGTTGTTCTTTCACCTTGCGAGGCTGTGTTGGGCTGCGTTGGGCTGCGTTGGGCTGGGGCCGAGACACACGCAGCTCTGTCGCTGCATGCATGCATGGGCGAACGGGCCACCATTCGGCCAACCAAGCTTGCCCGTGTCGAGGCGGACTTTCTTGACCCGGCGGGTCCTCTCTAAGCCTGCGGTTCCCAAGGCCAGCCGAGGCATTCTTTTTCCGGCCGCTCTCACTGTACACAGTTCGGCTCACCAAAGCCCCCGGAGACACACGAAGTGGCATTGGCAGCAATTGGCAGCGAGAGGCAGTGGAGCCCATGCAATCTGATGCACATACGCCGAACTAGCGTTGAAAGTGACGTGCATCCCCTCAGCCACGCCTGTCTGCATTGCAGCCCCCCAATCGCAGTGCCTATTGTTGCCGCTGCGAAGCGACAATGCACCACCACCACACTGTTCATTGTCATCCTCCCGAGTCGGAGTTGAGCAACTGGGCTTGCCGAGTGAGGCTGAGGGTATCGTGGATACACTGAGGGGGCTGGCTGGTTGGTGCGCAGTGGGTCGAGACTCGAGGGCATCGGGGGTAAGGGCGTGCACTGCCTCCGGCGGGGATGCACGCCTTTCTCACAGGACGCGTGCGTGCAGCTCAGCCGGCGGTCCGTGCCGCAACTCGCCCTTTTCCATTCAATTCGGCTCTACCTCCGCCACCTCGACATTCAGCTGCAGTGCACTCCCCGGCGAACACAAACAGTCTGCACCCATGCCGTCAGTGTGCGCTTCATCGCCCGATCACACCGCTACCGATCTGCTTCATCTCAAGATCCCAGTCCTCCACGCCGATGACTTGCATCGGGGATCCGATCGAACGGTCTCGTGCTTCACGCCGACTTGACGGCCCACGATGGACAATCGGCGTACATGACAAGGTGTTGGAAGATGCTGGTATTCCAAGAAAGCCCATTGGCAACCAAGGGTGCGCCAGTTTGCTGGTGAGACGACCGTCCTACTTGCGCTTTGCACCCTTGGGGCGGCCAGCAGGGGCAGCAGGGCCGGCACCACTGCCCTGCGCCTTGACCGAGCCCAACGAGGCCTGCCACCACGACACGGTGAGCAGCGAGAGGATGCCGTGTGCGACGCCGAACACGGTTTCGACGCGGACGCCGTGCTTGGCGAGAATCTCGGGGAAGACAAAGTCGACGAACGGCTCGGCATTGAGCAGGATCGACGACGCCACACCGTGGTAGAGCAACAGCAGGATGGCGGCAGCCCTCTTGCCCGGCAGATAGTCCGGCAGACCGTACAGCAGCAGGCACACGATCGACAGCGCCAATGCCAACGTTGCGTACATCTATCCCATACACAGCAACAAAAGTCAGTCCGACAGCTCAACCATTCGGCAAGGTGGGGGAAGATGGGCAAGGCTTACCTTGATGATGATGCTCATGGTGTTGTTGATCTCATCCTTGAAAGCGAGGCCGCGCGTGAGGAAGAGACCGATGAAAGCAACGGGTGCCTCAATGGCAGCGTGGAGAAGCCACAGGATGTTGAGCGCAGAGAAGTCGCTCACCGACTGCTGCGGCGCGAACGCTGTTTGTGGATGCGCCATCGCGGAGGTGTGGTCTGATGATCTATGATGTGGTGCGGAGACAAGTTGATGCTCACATGCGATGTGGCGAAGATAGTCCCAACCCCGCAGAAAGTGCCAATTGTCGGCGCGACCAACGTCTCGGCGCTGCTTCTTCCGAAGCCGCCGCAATTTAGAGCTCTGAACCCTCATTGGCGCGCCGTTATCGCAGCCGCCTGCCACTCTGTGCCATTTTCTACGCCCTGTTTTCCTTCCCATTTCTTGCTAGGATATTTTTTTTCCGCCTGAATGAAGCTGCTGTCTTCACTGCTTGCGGGCACACGATTGATCTGAGGACCTCTATTGCAAGCGTGCACATCAAATCGCATGCTAGCTGACAGGCTTGTGTCTATCTCTGAGAATCTCTAGTCTCTGAGCGGCTGTGTGACCGTTCCAGAGCTCCTTTCCGTCGACAATGTCAAAGTGCGGCAGTCCGAGCTGTTCGATGACGAGCGAGGCGGACACGGCGCCGTGCATGGCCGCCTCTCGCATTCTCGCGGAAGGGTCCAGCTGGGACTGCGACTCGGTCTGCACGAGGTAAGCGCTGAAGCCGCCGAGGAACGAGTTGCCTGCGCCCGTCACGTCTCGGATGCGCTCCGGGCTACAGTCCAATCCTCCTACAGCCTTACGAGCCGACGTTGAATGCCATGCGGGCACATGCTGGAAGCCCAGCCCAGCTCTTCCGACGACAGAGCCCCAGGCTCCGCTGCGAATGCACATGATGGGTCCAAATGCTTCGCCAGCCGTGCCGTCTGGCGGTGCGTGCGTTTGCTGCAGGTGCGCAACGAATCCGCCCGCCAGTTTTGTTGTGACAAAGTCGATGATCGACTCGGTGCCGCCAGTCGAAACTGCAGCGGCCTGCTGGCAAACGTGCTCCCATTCCGTGCTGAGCCCGAGCAATGCGGCCGCCTCCTCGTGGTTGGGACTGAACACGGCCAGCGAAGGCAGAACGCGCAGACACTCGTCGAGGTTCGCAAACACGCACGAGTCCGGTATCGGCTCGTAGACGAGTTTCGGAAAGCTCGACGCTGACCTTGCACCTGGACTCTTCTCGGCACCAAGGACGGCATGGATCTGGGCGATCGTCTCGAGCGCGCGCTCGGGCGAGCAGATGAGGTGGACCCACTGCGGCAACGCTGGTGGCACGCAGGGTGAACAAGCCAGCAGATCGCTCGGCTCGAGTCGGATCTTCGGCGAGAGGTAGTCGAAACCGCGATGCTCTCCCGTGTAGATATTCACGGCTCTGGTCGTGCGGTCCGGTCGCGAACGGTAATGCCACATGGACGCCGGGCCCGGAGCGGACGTCGCGGCTGCAGTCTGGTCGTATCGATCCAGAACTTGTTGGTCTTCAGGCTTCCAGTCGCAGCCGCGATCGATGACCATCTGCAGTGCGCTTGGTGGCAACCACATGCGCGCGCCAATGGCAAAGTAGCATCCTCCTCCTCCGATCTGGTCCTCGAGGCCGCGGTTGCCCAGATCCTGCCCCGTGCGCGGATCGATGAATTGGAAAGTGTCGATGATGAACATGCCCATTGTTGCGAGTTGGATCGGCGCAGCCGACCCACTGGCATTCGGCTGCGCTCGGTCGCCCATGGTCGAGCCGAAAGCGAGAGTCGCAGGTGAAAGTTGGTGGCAGCGTTCAGGCGCCTGCGAGACCTCGGGTGTGATCCGAGCGGCAGCGTGTGGAGTTTTCTTGAAAGTTGCATGCAGGGTCGGCACTCGGCCGTCCGCTCCCAGCGATTCAGGAGGGCGAGTTCGGATCTCCCGTTCGGGCCCCTTTTTTCCTAAAGGTGGCGCCTGCCTGCCCTCATCCCCCCCCCCCAGCCCCTGTCAACCCGCGACTGAACCCCCCTTGGATTTGGGCAGAAGGCGCTTCGATTGTCTGCGCAAAGATCAGCGATGGATACAAAGATACCCCTGACGCAGAGCAAGCGAGCCTCGTGGGTCCAGCGATGCCCCCTCGGATCATCCTCGCAACCGCCCTGGACGGTTGGCATGGATTCGTGACGTTGGGCTGCTGGACGCAGCCGGATGAGAGACGCGGATGTGGTGATGCGGCTGATGCATGAATTTCCATTTAGGGGCTCATCAACCAACACGACCCTGCATGCCCAACGCGCGACTGCATCCACTCAACCGACACTGGCAACCCGCACTCACGGCCTGCCACTTTTGCATCTTTGCGGACAGGGGCACGGCAGACCCGCCAGTCTCCTTCGAGGTAGAGTTGCTTCCTCTTGAGGCGAGAGATGTGCCTGTCTGTCCCTGACGAAAGTGCTGACTTGGCTTTCGTTGCATCCGCACCTGCAGGAGGGTTCTCATCTTCCTCTTCCGCCTCCTGAGAGAGCTTAATCGTCCTGACCCTTGGCATCACTCGTGGCCAGGCAGACCCACCCATTCGTCCTACCCCTCCTTCCACCATCGTTCACCTGGCTCCTGCCTCCATTCACCATCTGCCGATCCCTTTGCTCCCTCGACCTCCTTTATAACGACCTCTGACGACGCTCATCACGACCCCAACGACCTTTGCACGAGTTCAGTAGTCATCTTCCAAGCCAGCGACTGCTTGACCGGCACCACTCTCTGGCTCAGCATCATCCATCATGGCTAGCACCGACCCACCCGCCATATCCACGCCCTCGCGACCTCGCTACTCGCTCAATCCCAAACGCAGCGGCTCCTTCGCTGTCAACCCGGCCGCTCCCAATGTCGCCGGTTTCAGCCCCGGCGGTCAGGTCTTTGAAGGGTACTCGTACCTGACCCGCTCCACCTCCATGTCTACATCCACCCGGTCTCGGCCTAAGGGCCTTCAGACCGCTACGCCTCCAGCACCGCCCGCGGCCAACCTGCCAGGCTCTCCCTCCTCGCCTCGCTTCACCCGCCTGGCTCAATCTCCTCCTACCAGCCCGTTCGGTGAACACACCGAGCTTCCCCGTCGCAGCAAAACCATCCATCGCATCTCGAGCTCCATCAGCACTCCAGAGCTCCATTCCTTCAACGTGCATCCAGCTCGCTCCGTCTCCGAGTCGGAGCGCCTCGCGGAAGCTGTTGCCAACCTCCCGCACAACCCCAAGGCCTGGCTGCCGTCCCAGGTGGCCCTCTACCTCACCCATGTGCTCGGGCTAGTTCCTCGCCCCGTCGTCGAGGACGTGACCGCCTACGTGAGGAGCTCCCGCATGGGCGGCCGCGCCTTCCTCCGTCTTAGCGAATCCGACCTCGAACGCCAAGGCCTCAACCTCAAGTGGCGCAAGCTCATGGTCGAGGCGGGCCGAAAGCTGCGCCGTGACGCCCTGCGTGGGCGCATCTGGGGAAACGAGTCCGGCTCCCTTCGCTGGCCCAAGTCTGCACACGACCTCGCTCGCGAAGAGGCCGAGGAACTCGATGACTCTGAGCTGCGGGCAGAGAAAGACGGCATCGTCCGCAGCTCTTCCACCACCAGCAAGCTTACGCTCAAGCGCATGCGCGACAGTCGCAAGGTTCGAGGCATCATTCATGCCTTTCAGACGGAGCCCATGCCCACTGCCAACCCGTCGAGCTCGCCCGTCGACTCGGTCTTCGGTGAGGGCTATGTCCGTGGCCAGGCACAGCAGATCCTTTCCGAGTCTGAGCAAAAGAAGCTCTCGCTCCGTCGACCCCTCCGTCCGCGCAGATCGACCGCCGATTTCCCTTGGCTCGAAACTGCGGCAGGTGCCAAGAAGGAGGACATCGAGGCGCTTCTCTCGGCGCTCACCGAACAGGAAGCCAACGAGCTGGCCAGCGAGCTTGGTCTCAACGACCTCGACGACACCGATGCCGTTGGCCGAGCCTTGCAGCAAGACCATGCAGACTCAAAGCACAAGATGCATCTTGCCGACGAGGCTTCGGGGGAGAGCGCAGATGAGGTCGCCCTCATGCCTGCCCTCACCCGCCACGGATCGGAAGACAGTCTCTCTTTCGAAGGCGACACGTCTGTTTCCGAGTGCAGTGCCACCGAAAGCGAGGCGGTTGCTGACGCTGACACGGACTCGCGCGGTCACAAGCCTCGATACAGTGTGCTCGATGAGGATGTCATTCGAGCCATCCTGGCGGAAGCCGATCATGCCGAAGCTGGTCAGCCTACAGCCGACGGCGCTGCTGCTCACGATCAAGAGGAGCCGGCGAAGGCCCAGTTGACTCGATCCCACACCACGGCCTCCATTCTGCGACCCGAGCGCCCGTACCGCGCCTCGCTCTATACTGAAGAGGAGCTGGCTTCGCTCGACACTGATCCTCTGCACATCAGGACGGAAAGCTCGCGCGAGCTCGTCGAAGCGCTCGGACTCTCTGAAGCAGACTCCATCGAAGAGGATGCAGAGCCCCAGTTCGGCACTGCGCGACTTCGATCTGCCGAAGAAAGAGCTCTCGACGCGCTCGCCCTCCCGAATTTCGAGCAGCCCGCATCCTCCCATCAGAACGCGGAATCGCGTTTCGATGCACACGAGGAGGTGGGCTCTGCCGACAAGGGCGAGTACATCTTCATGCCTCCCGAGCCGTCGTCGCGCAAGCCGTTGTCGCAGGTCGGCTCGATCCGCCGCGCTGGCAGGGACGCGACTTTTGGCAGCAGGCGTGGCAAAGCGGTGCTTTCGCTGCTCAAAGGTGACTCGGAGAACAGCGAGTTGTTTGCGTCGCTCCCGGGCGCGACGATGCTGCGCCAAAAGTCAAACGAGACGCGAAAGACGATGGCCGCCGAAAACGAAGAAGGCTGGGGCGGCACACTCGGCCGCAGCTCCAGCCGCAAGAGCCTCAACAGCGTCTTTGAAGGCCCGAAGCCCAGCTCGATGCTGTGTGATGCGGTCAACTTTCCCAGGCGCAGCCTCGACCGTGTCGCGTCTGAAGCAGAGATTGACCTGCCGGAGCCCGAGATCGGTTCAGAGGCCGACAGCGAAGACGCAGATCTGCCGGCGCAAAAGCCCGTGGATCGGTATGAGGATTCCGCCAACGAAGGTGATGCAGATGCAGCAATGCTCCGCAGGCCGTCTGTGGAGCAGCGTCTCTCTTCTCTCTTCAACGAAGCTGGCGCAGAGAAGGCTGCCGACGAAGCTGAACCACAAGCCAAGGCGGAAGCCGAGCCAGAGGCGGCAGTTGTTGCAAGTGCCGAGGATCTTACGCAAGAAGAGCCTTCGGAGGACGCCCCAGCTGAGCCCACCGACGATCAGGAGCCCAGTCTCGACGCAGACGCTCACAGAGCAGACGCTGAAGACGTGATCGATGCCGCTGACGACGTCGCCGTTGAAGCTGACGCCGCTGGCCCCGCTGACGCTGTCGCTGCTGACGCCGTTGATGCCGCTGATGCCGCTGGCGAGACTGTCGAAGAAAAGACGGAGCTAGTCGCCGAGCCCCTTCCTGCCCCTGAGCAAGAGGTCACTGACGCAGAGTCCGAGCCTGTCGACGAGCCAGCTGTTGATGCAGCAAACAGCGAGCGCATAGATTCGATCGACACCGTCACCATCGAGCCGGAGCTCGAGCGACGCGCTGGCTCTGACAGCGACGACTTTGTTGCGATCGTTGCGCCTGCCACCGCGGACGAGACGGCGGAGAATGGCGTTGGCACTCAGGACTCCGTCGACACGGCGTCGGTTCCTGCCGCCGAAATTGCGGAGCCTGCAGCTGCGGCGGACACTGCGTCGAAGCTGCTGGTGCCGCTGACAGTGATTGAGCCGCACCCGTCGGGGACGGGCAGCATCTCGAAGCGGTCGATGGTGCTGGTGGACCGTAGGCGGTTCGAGAGCCTCGCTCGGCGCATGACGGATCTCGAGCAGCAGCTGGAGTCGATCGACCGCTCGCCCAGTTCGCGCGACGGCAGCGTCGGCACCGGCTCGAACCTGCGCGACATGTTTTCGGCGGGCACAGACGATGTGCCCTCTGGTAGCGAGGCGGACGAGATTCTCGGTGCGGTCCTCGCCGCCACGAGCGAAGCACACGATGTCCCTGTCGCCACTGCGAGCAAGGCAGGATCCGATGTAGTGCCTGTGCAAAAGGGCGGCTGGTGGCGACCCTCAAGCTGGGTATCGTACCTGTCTTCGCTCAACCCGTACTATGCCGAGCCGTCGCGCGGTGCCGAGTTGGAGGAGGAGCTAAGCCTCGATGCGCTGCTGGGCCGGCCCGAGAGCGAGCACGAGAAGCAGCTACTCGCCATCGGCGCTATCCCGGCATACATGCTCGGGCTGGGGGCAGGCGTGGGCTTTGTGCTTGTGCGCGAAGTGCTCGCCAAGGGCATCGGAAGATCGTAACAGGCTATGCGCAGGCCTGTAAAAGAACAATTGTTGTATCGAGTCACGGTTTTGTTGTCATGCCATTTTTTGTGTCGACCGAACCCCTTGACTCATCGCTGTGTGTTGCGCGCACGCAAACACATGCACCAAAGTGATATGAGCCAAGGTAACTGAGACCATAGAGCGAACAACATGCAACGCCAATGAACAGCGGGGATGGTGAGGAGGGTGAAGTACATTTTTTGGAGGGGATTAGGGGTTTAGATGCGGTCGTAGGACCAGATTCTGGCATTAAAGTCGCCGCTTCCCGTGGCCAGTAGGCCTCCGGCGGGGCTGAGGTTGATGGCAATCACCGAATTCTTG